GTCATATCAGGGGTTGTCATGCCCCTGTTGGAGACTGAGGGAGAGGAGGAAGTGTAGCTCCAGAGGTTGTGGAGGAGGCTGGGGAAGGGCAGAGGTTGGCTGGGCAGTCAGAGGAAGACCCAGGCCCATCCCCTCTGTATTCTGAGGGCACGCAGGGAGGAACGGAGAAGGGAACAACGTGGCTTACAGGAGAGGAAGCGGCCATGATCCCCCTCATTGGCTACATCTGGGGGGAATAGTATATAGGAGGGACGTTTAAAACACTGCGTTGCTAGAAGCAAAATGTGTTTTATTTCTGGCTGAGGTTTATCTTGGTTGGCATTCTTCCAATGGACTGTGCCTTGTTATCTTCTTGAAGTTTGTAATTATCCTGGTCTGTTGTGGAAATTCCTTCAGTGTGGTTTGTTTTTGATTTTTTATTTCTTCGCTATCTGTTCTTTGAGTTTGGACTGTATTTCTTTCTTTTGGAGACTATTTTGGAAAGAGTTTAATCTCCAACTGAGAACAATTGAATAGGGGGCCACGTTGGAGGCATTAAAGGAAATTTATTTACGTTTGGGAATTTGTTACGTGTGTGCTGCTTCCCGGGTCATCAAAAGGGTCCTTGGTGCTCTCTAAGATTGATTGTTTTCTTACAAACGTTTCATTACCCTAACTAACCCTGATGATGTTACCTAGTTTGGGTCATGAAACATCTGCAAGAAAACAATCAATCTTAGAGAGCACCAAGGACCCCTCATTTCAATCCTGAGCTACAAATGTTCTCCTTTATTGGCCACAAGTCACTTTTTCCAGTGCCATTGTAACCCCAAATGGTCACTAAATGAACTGTTGTAAGTCGAGGACTACCTATAGTGGACTAGAGAGTCGTTCTACCAAAAGGGGGTGAGTCTGGATGAAAACCAGGAGACTGTGAGTTCTAGTCCTGAAATCCAGCACGAAACCCAGCTGAATGACTCTGGGCTGGCCACGCTCTCTCAAGCCCAACCCACCTCACAGGGTTGTTGTTGGGGGAAAAGAGGAGGAGGAAGAAGCATTATACATATTGGCTGCCTTGAATTAAAGTAATAAAATAAATCTAATAAACCCAACCAACCCTTGGCGTGATGTTTGTGTGACTCAGCTATGCATGAAGATGTGCCTCATGCAATATCCCCTTCATGGCTGAACCGAGGGAGGAGACAGCCTTCAAATTTCCTTGAAACCATCTTGCCGTGTCTTTTTTGGTCTTATCTCCACATCACCCACCTTCCTTCGCCGTCTCCCTTCTTCCTTCCTAGACCCACAGAATCAGAACAGCTGCCTTCCCACCTGCCAATCTAAACCGAGCCAAGTGGTATATATTTCATTTTCCTTTTGCATCGATGCCTATACCAGTGGCTCTTTAATTATTTTTTCCGTGCTGTTTTTTTTTGCTTTCGCCTTCCAGTTTTTGCTTCCTCCACTCAGGTTGCAGAAACCTTTCAAATCCCTAAAGAGCAGAGAACGCTACAAATAAATTGAAGAACATACTTGTGAATGCCAATAATGCTCTTTCCTCAGTTCTAAATTCAAACAGGTAGCAGAAACTAAGCTATATAAAAAACAAACCACAACACCTCAGTTTTGAGAACCTGTAGGCAGGACAAGAAGCAATGGAGGGAAACGGATCAAGGAGAGAAGCAACCTAGAACTAAGGAGAAATGTCCATTGTCCTCTCTAGGGAGAACAATGAATCAGTGGAATGGCTTAACTCCAGAACTTGTGGGTGCTCCATCACTGGAGGCTTTCAAAAAGAGACTGGACAACTATTTACCTGAAATGGTACAGTGTCTCCTGCCTGGGCAGGAGGTTAGACTAGAAGACCTCCAAGGTTTAGTTTAGTTTAGTTTATTGTCATTGCACCTCATAAATGAAATCAAACACCATCTTCAGTGCACATCATTACCATGAACATGAAAATAAACACAAACACACATCCTTCACTGGGGTGGGATTCAAAATTTTTAACAACCGGTTCTGTGGGCGTGGCTTAGGTGGTGGGCGTGGCTTGGTGGTCATGTGACTGGGTGGACATGGCTTGATGGTCATGTTATTGGCTGGGTCTGGCCAACTCAATATCACTCACATCGAGGCACGCATCCCCTCGCCTGGCCTCTCGTGACTGTGGGGATGCTGCAACAGTCATAAGTGTGAAAAATGGTCATAAGTCACTTTTTTCAGTGCCATTGTAACTTTGAATGGTCACTCCACACAAGCAAAGTATCAGCAAAGGAGGGGGAAAAACCTCCAGAGAAGTTCCTGAGACAGGAAGTCTAGTCCTGCCAAGAATGTAATAAGGGTTAACGGAGAGGCAGTTTCTGTAAGCAACACCAGAATGTTTCCTTCCTGCCTTCCTTACAGGATGAGGCCAGTAATTTCTTCTAACAACCGGTTCTCCAAACTGCTTAGAATGTTAACAACCGGTTCTAGCAAATAGGTGCGAAATGGAAGAATCCCACCCCTGTCCTTCACCCTCCACACATTGAACCAAAACCCCCCAACACCACCCAACACTGCACTATACAGCAGAATTCAAAAGAGCTACTGCTCTGGGATAGAAGCTGTTTTTCAGCCTATTTGTCCTTGTTTTTATTATCTTGTACCGTAATAGTTCAAAAGAAGGGGGTGCCCAGGATGAGATGGATCTTTGAGAATGTTTTGAACTTTCTTAAGGCAGCGGGAGCTATAAAGCTCTTCCAAAGAGGGGAGAGGGCAACCAATAATGTTCTGGGCAATGATGTTAACCCTCTGGAGTGCTTTCCTATCTGCCCCTGTGCAATTGGCAAACCATACAGAGGTGCAGTAAGTTAAGTTGGTCCCTTCCAACTCTGTTATTCTGTTATTTTAATCCTCCTCACATTCTTTGGAGGGAAGTGAAAACAAGTATATACCAAACTCAATCCAGTCAACTACTAATCTAGTGATAGATTAGTAGTTTTAAACTATTCACTATTGACCTCACCCCATTCCTAAAAGGTCTGTAAGGGGCGTGCATAAGTGCACAACTGTGCCTACCGTCCCTGTCCTATTATCCCCATTTATTCGTATCTATTTCCTGTGTAATTTCCCTTCCTAGTCATGTTTATATTTATACCTATTATCTTGTAAGCGATTGACAAATCAAATAAATAAATAGTGCCTTTTCAGCAGATCCAGTATATTACTCATTGGGTTAATCATAGTCAACCATCGTTTTGGAAAAATGCAAAATCTTAGAGCACTTCTTTCAGTCACTATACCAGAAAAATTTCCATATGTCAAAAAGCAAGTGAGTTTCTACATTATTCATTGCCTGAAGAATGTTCTCCTTGAGTAACTTACACATCAGATGCACTGAATATTTGGGGACAAATGAAGAGTGATTTTTAAAAAGAAACATTTTTCCTAAACTTCTAAAAACTGTATTAACATTCCCATGAGAAGACTCTAATTATATGATTACTAGGAGCCGACAATGATTTGATGGGACCTAATTAAAAAAATCATCAACGTTGGCAGCATCTTAAAACATAAATTGTTAGGAGATGCATACAGTAGTTTTTACTTTATACCTATTCATGTTTGAGATTTATCATCCAATTAACAACTGTATTAACGTAGTCATAGAGGAGTGAATGTTATACTGTGTGATATATTTTGCTGGTTATTACTCTATCACTGTATTTATTTGCTTCACTCTGTTTTTGTTCTTTTTAAATTTTGCTGGTTATTGACCAAATAAACATTATTGTTTAATTCATTTTCGCACGTTAGGATTTCTTTGCCTCTTTATTAGCCTTGTTCTATTACCTGATCAGTCACTAACCCAGAAAAATCTCATTTGACATCTGGTACTACACGATTTGGACCAAATGGGTCCGGAAGAGACTGGACTGCCCTCTGTCAGAAATGGTATAGAGTCTCTTGCTTGGGCAGGGGAGGGAGAGAGTTGGACTAGATGACCTTACAAGGTTCCTTCCAACTCTGCCAATCTGTTAAAAGTCTCTGGCTAGAGATTGCACGTCTACCAACTTTCTATAGGAAGTGCTTGATAGCCTAATAGTACTTTGGCCAGAAGACTAGTCCTTATGGTTACTTCCCTTCCCATATTCAGAGAGGCAGACTTTTGGACTCATTCATGGAGAACTTTGCTTTTTTCAATAGTTCTTTCTTTCCAAATCTTTTTCATACTTAGAAAAGCCAAATGGCTTAATTAGGGGTTAAGGCACCAGGCTAGAAAGCAGGAGACTATGAATTCAAGACCTGTCTTAGTCATGAAACCCAGCTGGGGGACTTTGGGCCAGTCACGGGGAGATTTGAGAGTTCTAGTTCCATATTAAGCATGAAAATCAGCTGGGTGACTGGGCCAATCCCCAGGAGACCTTCTTCCTCTTCTTTTCCCCACAACCAGTTTGTGAGGTGGGTTGGGCTCAGAGGGGATAACTGGTCTGCTGATTTTCATGCCAAAGGCATGTCTAGAACTCACAGTGCTCTGGTGATTGATCCGAAGTCACCCAGGCAGTTTTCATGCCAAAAGCAGGACTAGAACTCACACATTCCTTGTTTCTAGCCTGGTACCTTAACCACTACTAGGCCAGATTGGTCCTATCTATCATATCTGTCGGTCTGCCTATCTATCTATCTATCTATCTATCTATCTATCTATCTATCTATCTA